ATAATTAATTAATTTGTACATTTTCATTAGCAAAAATATCCACGTGCTACAAAACAGTAAAACGCAATAAAAAAATTGTGAAATCAAAACAACAGAACAATAAAAAAATACACTAACTGTTGTGCGATGTTTTAACAGATAAATATTTTGTTTTATTCTCGATCCACAACCTTTTTTACATGAGGAACCACATTCATACACAACAAWGTTCTCATGTACTGGAGGGAAAGAAGAAGTTCTCAAGGAGCTTGTTTTTTTTTTTACTCTTGTAGAAGAATATTGTTTTACATTACTGGTTCCAAGTACTTTTATATGTGAAGTGATTATTATATATTATGTCATCAAAAGCGCATTTCACATTTGAGAATCTAAATCTGTCATCATAAATGAGAGTCAAGAATAATTTATGATGATGTATTATGATGTCACTTTATCTGACCTGATACTTTTACTTTTAACAAAGGTATAAAAAAATCAACATATCCTGAAAAAAAGAAAATGCACAATTTTTAAAAAACTTTAAAAAATAGTAACGCACACGTAACTCATCGTTTTAACACATGCATTTTATGACAAAAATGAATAAATACATAAAGTGTCTGTATTTGTTCTCTCTTAGATCTAATACACAGTCAGTAACGGCCTCTTGGTGGTCGTAAAGCAGGAGGGCCACCCTTATGTCTCTGCCCTGCAACATAAATAAATCTAGTCACGCACCTGGATAAGACTAGTTTGACCTGGATGCTTAAAACTCATGAATAAATAGAAATACTTATTACAAACTATACAATTTATTTGAAAATAAGGCCTTGGAAAACGTGGTTTGAGCTGACGTCTTAATTTATGCCTGAATGGTTGGCAACTTCCGCATAAAACATTATTCTGTTATTTCACACGACAGATGTTAATGCAAATTAAAATCTGCGAACAATCAACGTGATTTTTTTGATTACATTGTCTCTACAAAGCGGCACTWCATTCGAGAACGCAAAGTTTAAATTGGCCTCATAATTATATTATAAAGAAAGCGCACCGATGCCAGACCTGCGGAGCAGCTAAAACCTGACCAGGAAAGGTACAACAACTAATCCGTTTTTTTTTTAATTGAGCTGTTTAAGAGTTGACTGCCCTAAATGTGTCATGAACACGTTGACAAACCTGTTTGTTGTAACTTTGTTTCATGTGAGAACACCTTATCCAACAGTCTGCGCTGGCGAGCGATCTCTGCCTCATAATCGTCAACTCTTTTCTCAAAAGCTCCCAGTATTTCCTGCGCAGCCGCAGTCAGTCGGTCACAGACGAATGTGCGCATAATATGGACAGGATACATTTTTAAATGAACTTGCAGCTAAGTCATAAAGAAATAAAATAAAAGAGCCCGTCGGCTTGAAACCTGATTCGAACAGTACTGTTCACTTCCGCGTGAGGGGAGTGTTTAAAAAAAGTTAGTTTTCACTGACCCCTAGCGGCCGTGCAAGGTATGACAATACATTTTCTTGTCATGTGAATTTTGTTGAAAAATCAATTATCAAATACTTCAAAGGCGCAATAGCAGTATAGCTAAGTATGTGGGTTGCACACATGAAAAAATTCCCATGTTTGTCACTGCCAAACAGCGTATTTTACTGTAGCTATTAACATTTGTTTTGAGCTTCTGGTACTCTCAGGTGCTGCCAACCAGGTGCCCGCTGTAAGATTTATTGCCAAGAAACTTTGTCACAACAAAGAAATAATATAACAAACAAAATCCTGTTACTTTTTGCGATAAGTTTATATTTATATGTGAGTTTATGTGTGAGAATATTCATATGAAAGAGGAATCAGTAAAGATGCAATATAAGAAATGAAACCAAGAAAGACCAATTCAGTCTTCAGTTTTATTTAGGCACCAGTCGAAGTAGCCTCTCTCTTATGAAGAGACTTGATGTTTACAGAATGAAATAATATTCTAAATAATGAACTTTTTGTCTCACGCTTCACCAAAATCAACAGAACTTAGTMCTGATGTAAAAATAAAAACTTTGCAAAAGAAAATATGCATGTAACGTGTAAATATTGCCTACATATTGCCTACATATGGTACACTGCACACAAATTCTGATATAATTACATGCATATAACCACACTTCTCAATAACATCACATGCACATCCCAGTCTATTGCTAAACATTTAATAATTTAAGTTAACAGGAGACTAGGAATGAKAACACCAGACAATAAGAGACATTTGTAGGTGTTTGGATTGCACAGGCAGCAGTGTACAATCAGTTTGTGCACTGCACAAGTTGCCGTATTTACTTTGCAACTTAGATAAGGCAAACAAGATTATAGATTCTAAGCCAAACAAACAAAAAAAAAAAGCAAAAACCGTTATCTGCATGCACACTGCCTTCTTTATCCAAAAGTTATTGTACGTGCACAACAATATTCTGATATTAACAAGACTACTTTAACACAAATAAGATCCTATTTAGAGTATTTYTCCTGAAAATGTTTGGACAATAAAGATGCAGAGTGTGTTAACGAGCTTTAAATATATTTTCGATGGAAACGCCAACAGTAGTTTGTCCATCCAGTTATAGTGTTTCTCATCTGTTATGCTCCTTCAGTATTTACACAACAGCAGGGGTTTTCCTCAGGTGTGAAGGGCGGTGCAGATTCTCTCCTCTGTAGCTTCCAGCGCAGATTTTAGAGAAGCGCTTAAGTTGGAAACTCCTCCCACATCTCACGAGAATACACCTCCTCGTTCGTGTGTCGTTTCGTGTGGACCAGCAGGCTGGAGTGACTCTTCAGACATTTCCCGCACGTCTTGCAGGAATAGGGTCTTTCGCCCGTGTGCGTTCGGAAATGACCGTCGAGTATCGACTTCTGGTTGAACCTTTTGCCGCAGACTTGGCAGGAGTAGGGCCTCTCGCCCGTGTGGATTCGCTTGTGGACGTTCAGGATGGATTTCTGATTGAAGGTTTTGCCGCAGATGTCGCAGGAGAACGGTCTCTCGCCCGTGTGGATCCGCTGATGAACTTGCAGTATGGATTTCTGATTGAACCGCTTCCCACACATCTGGCAGCAGAACGGCCTCACTCCCGTGTGGATTCGAAAGTGCCGGAGCAGCCTGGACTTAAACTGGAACGTTTTCCCACAAGTATCACATCTATATTCACATTTTTGACCCATACAGGGATTAAAGTGAGTCTTTAACATGACGGGATTATATAAATTAGTGCTTTCATGATGTTTCTGCTCTGACTGCTTGCCTCCTCTGTACTCTGACATTTCCTCAGGCTGTTCCTCTGCTGCACTCTGACGTTCAAACAGATCCCTGTTAGGCGTTTGAGCTACACCCTGGTCACTTGTGTTGTACGGAGGAGCTGTCAGAAAAGCTTCCGTCTCCTGTTTTAGTACCAGCTGCTCTTTGTCTGGACTGGTGCAGAGCTCTCCCTGTTCTTCTTTAATTGGAAGAAACTCCAGGTTATTCTGGTCCAAATTAGAGTTCCTCTCATAATCGAAGAGCTGCTGCTCAGTAAAAAAGTTGTCCTCTTCAAAGAAAGAAGGCTGTGGTATATCTGGAAAGCAAAACAGCACAATAAAGAAAAGAAATCTGATAAAAGAAGTTAGAAGGTTAAGCGTTTTCTCAAATTATGTATGTATGTATGCTACATTTTTATATTCTCCCTGATGTCAGGAAGTCTCAACCCCTACCATTTTTTTTATCCGTTTTGAATTTTCCATTTTCCCAACCTTTTACACCTGTCTGCCTCTTTGTGCTCTTGTGAATTAGATTTGAATAAAATTGACTTTTCTGAATATCTGAAACATTTGTAACTGATTAAAAAGCTGTCACTTTTTTTTTAAACTAGGCTTAATATATTTATATTAAAAACAGCTTACAGACAAAACAAGACTTGTGTCAACTCTGATTTGTTCATTTTAATTATCTGTCTAACGCATGGCTATTCAACTAGCAGCCTGCGGGTCGGATTACTGCCAATGGTGGTTTTTTTTAAGAATTTTTTTAAAACTTAATTTAAATATAAATCTCAAATAATTTGTAAATTTAAAATTTATGTTTCAATGCAACAAAATAAAGTTAAAAGGTACAAGATAACACTTGTTCTGTTACATGCTGCAGTGTTTCACCTACCATTAATAGGCTACAAAATTAAGACTACATATATATGCGAGATTAATTTTACAAACTTTAGCACAATAACTTTTTTATGATAGATTTTTTTTCATTAATGTCATAAAGATCATTGTTCTCACCTGTGTGCCAAATGACATGAGAGTCCAGTTTAGATTTCTGATTGAATCTTCTCCCACAGATGTCGCAGGAATATGGCCTCTCGATTGAGTGGATCCTTTTATGACCATTCAGAATAGATTTCTGATTGAATCGTTTTCCACACAGGTCACAGGAATATGGCCTCTCGCCCGTGTGGATCCTCTGATGGACTTTCAGTATTGACGCCTGGTTAAACCTTTTGCCGCAGATGTGGCAACCATAAGGCTTGACTCCTGTGTGGATCCTCTGGTGTCGGATCAGTTTGGACTTGAATGGAAATGCTTTCCCACAGGTGTCGCAAAAAAACTCACACTTCTTACCCGTGCGTGTATAAATGGGAGTGCTTAACATGAAAGAATGATGTTGCTCATTCACTCTGCAGAATCTCCTCTGCAGTTTTGTCTCTACATATCCAGCTGGTTTTGATCCTGCTTGCTTGTTTCCATTGGGATCTCGGCTCTCCGCTAAATGAGAAGACTTGGAGATGTGGGAGACTGAAATCTGAGGTGTGAGATTGTTGATATTGTGTTCTGGTAAAGTAGAACTTTTAATGGACACGTCATCTATGGACATTTCTMCTGCATTCTGAGATTTGGCAGGATTATGGCAAACAGTTTGATCTACACTTGTGTCACCTTCATCACATGAAAGATTCATGGATAGAGTTTCTGTTTCTTCTTTAAATACAAGCTGATCTTTGTCAGGACTGATGCAGACTTCTCCGTGTTTTTCTTCAATTTGTTCTGGATCTAAATCCTCATGGTCCAAACTGAAATTAGTCCCCTCTTCACTGAGCTGCTGCTCTGTCTGAACCTCCTCCACCTCAATGAAATGTTGTGGGAGCTCTGAAGTGGAAAAGTGACAAAAAAGCAGGAAACTAATATGACAACTGGGGGGAAAAAATTACAGAACTAGTATTTGTGTTTACATCAAAATGTGAATTTCTAAAATTTCTGCTTCAAACCCAAACTCTACAGTTTTGCTTCTTAATTTGTAGGTAAAGCATTTTCTTTTAGAAAGAAAAAAAATTGTATAGGTCTTCTGGACGGGTTCTTCTCTAATGAAACGTTTCGTCTCTCCTCCAAGAGACTTTTCAGTCTGAGAGTTTCAGGCAAAAAATTCAGACTGTTAAGCACTGCCTCCATGTGACTGATACTCACATCACATGGCTATCGTTGACACCTAATTAACACTTATTGTTAACAGGCCCTGGAGCAGTGTGGTTATCCTGACTGGCTTTCCTGAAAGCAGACAGGAAACACAGACAGGATTCCATGCAACCTTCAGGTGAAAATGAAGACCCCAAACCCAGACCCAAACCAGTGGTTATTC